ACAACTCGCCAGAAAGACATGTGAAATCAATTCTTGGCCAATTTTGTGTTAAACGGTTATGCTATTATTCCTATTTTTGTCCTGACGTATCTGCCTACTCCCTACACTCTTTTATCGTGAGTAGGTATTCAAGACTACCAGTAAATCAGGTACATTAGTGATGTTCACCCTATTTCGTTTGAGGTTTTTAAGGACTTGTAGACGAATTTTCCGACAATGATATGAGTATAGTTGACGTTTCCATTGAATTTCACATAGCCTTGCTTTCCCAAAAGTTGTTCTCATCCAGGGTTCTACTACCAGTCCTTCATCACTTAAACGAAATTGTGTGAATACTTCTCATATTACTTATTTACTGATAGTCTCGAAATTCCACTTAGAATACGAAAAATAAGCAATTAGAATCAGTCTAGCCACAGAATATCTAGTCGCTTTTAGTCCTTATGGGCTTCAAAGTATCTTATCGAAGCGTCAGCTGCTTATTCAGAAAGTCAGTGGATTGCGATATTTGCTCGGGTCAAAGATTAAATATGACACTAGGCTGACAAGGATTTCAGGTTTAGATCCATCTATCGTCATCGACGGAGGCGCCCTTCAGGTACCATTCAGTAGGGTTTTTCTCCTTCCGGCATTTTAATTAAAGGCGCCTTGACTTCCAAGTACTGTCAATCTCATCCATTTTTCTATCCAAAGGATTGGAGCGTATAGATGTACAGCCGTGTCAACCGTCCCAACTGTTTATTTCTCCGTCTTGCCCTGATCTGTAGCCACCTCCGTGTGATCTCTTGACGTTAAGATGGTAGATACAGTGTGGCCAATTTAAGGACAAGTAATTAGTATCTTATTATTATTTGTATAATTACCTCTTGTACTGTATCTTTCAAGAATTCATAAGCCTTTTAAACACTATTTGCCCTCACAACATTATTTTAGACAAAATCTGCGTCTAAATTTGGATATACAAGGGTGCTTCCGCTCTGTGGCGGCAGCACAGACGACTCAACCGCCACTCTACTCCACTTCCACCAGTTTTGTTTCTAAGCTAGAACCTGCTGTTTCCATTTCACTGACAACCTCAACGGTAGACTTTACCAGCTCAAGTGTCTCGACAACTTCTCGATCCATCAATCCCAACTCACTCCTCCCAACGACTCAAATGAGGACCACAAGTCTATTTACTTCAGGCTCATCTCCCAGCACAACTACCGCCCCCAGTACTAGTTTCGTCCCCACAACATTTGGCCATTTCAGCACCAATGTCTCCCATTACGAGTTTTCCACACCTGCAGCTCCCACCAGAGGGCCCCATCCACCAGCCTGCGGCAATATCACTGCGTTCAGGACTACAGATAATCAAAAGCCCGAAGTCTACCTTTCTGTGGAGCAGAAAAAGCCTGGAATAGAGATGGACTTCCTACCAATTAGACAGTCAGAGCAGCACCATATGGACGGAGTGAATACTAGTTGGGTAGAGTTGGGCGATGAAGGTTGCAGCGTTCACCTACACAATGCCGAGCTCATTCGCCTTCATGCCAAAATAAATGAGACCGGCTTTATTTTCGCTTCTGTCTACTTCAAACTAAGTCTAAACTGGGGCGTGGACAACGTTACGATGACACTCATTTCATCACGGAAAAGGATAGCGGAACGGATTTTAATGAATATTAGTCAGGTAATGGCTTTTGTAATTTTGCCCTTTTTCTTTCAGAGTTTATATATATTTGTAACCCAAGAAGTTAGGAATGCTCTAAAGCCTAAGTATATAGGTTATAGGAAAGCCCGAAAATTCATATGATTATCCAACCTATGGGATATTTAAGCATAGAGGCTGTGGCCTCTATTTTTGTTGCAGTCTCCTTTCGATGTTTGAAAGTGGTCTGACCTCCTTTTCGCAACTTAGTTGTATAATTTTTGTCGAAATCCTATGCCATAATAATTATCGATTTTCCCAGCTCTAACCGTAGACTTGGTACCTTCTCAGACATTTCGCCGGAATCGTCAATGCGTCTTGTCATTCTCCTAGCGAGGCTACAACTCTTCAAAAGACGCAAGTGAAGTCAATCACTTGCGTTACCCGGGTTGGAGTCTCACAAGGTGTGCTAATGAGGCCCAAGCCTGGTAGACTACAGTCCCCCTACATTAGTATACCTTTTGTGAGGCAAGGCTATGTGAAATCCAAATGTGAGGTCTATTCATATCATGGTGGGAAAATTTAACTAGCAATTCTTCATAAGCTTAAATTAAATTGACTGAATGGAGCTCTTATATCAGATCTACTGGTAGTCTCTAAAACCTACCTAGAAAAGAAAACTTGTATTTTGCCATTATAATAAACTATGCTATATTTATCTATTTAAAATAGGGTTTTAACTATCAGTAAATTTGCATCACCATACGCGGCCTTGCGTGACTAAAGCTCATATTCGTTATACGAAATCAATGAAAAATATAATTCCATTTTTTCTGTTAGCATGATAGAGGAAATATTATGGAATACTCTGTTTTGATAGTGATTTCTACCAGGATTTGTCTCGTCCTTATGACAAATTAAAATTCTCGGTTGTATTTAATTTATCTGATTCAGAGAAGCTTGAATCACCTTAAAGTCGTCCCTACTTTCTTGTTGGTCGGGTATTGAGCTGAGTAGTAGTGTTTTCTAGTTCTGCTGGAAGACCGAGAGGAGCTCGAAATTGGGGCTATTCTGTGGTGAACTGCTACATCTTCATAATTATAGGAGACTCAGTAATTACTGCTCTATATAACCTTATGATTTGCGTTGAAACATTAAGCCGAATTTAGGACATATATTTAGGAAGTTTATTCTAAATTTTAAACTACTCGTTAACATTAGTATATGCACAACCTCTGTTTTCGTGACACGAAATAGTTGACAGTTGAAAATATTATTATTTATTTAGGAAAATAGAATGTTCCCTCTTGAAATGGAAATCGACGAGATCCTACTCGAGGCAAAAACGGTGCTATTTTCACAGGCGATCATGACGCTGCAATCCTACATCTGCCATAGGGAGCTGCCTATCTCCACTTCACCTACAATCTCCACCACTTCAGAGACCGCTTTCACAACACCTTATTTGCCATTTTCCGAATCTTCAGCAGCATTAGGAACGACAACTGCAATCTCCGAATGTATCCCTGTGTCGGGGATGCTGTCGAAGGATGTACGTTTCTTTTATACTTTCCTTTAGCTTTTAATGTTTTATGCTATCATTTTACTTTGATTGAAGGCAACTATAGAATGTAATGCCTAGTGAGTTTATTAAAGAACTCAGAAACCATAGTACAAATAAATTGTATGGAAAAACACTTATTTTTACTCGTCTTTAGGAGGCTGAACAGGAGGATAGTAAATGCAGCAAACCAAAAGGTAATATGATCCTAGCTTTCACATCTGAGGCTGAACGAGTTATGAATTTGCGGGACATTTTCATTTTTCTTTTTTGTCATCTTTCTTGGCGGACACTAGCCGTTGCAATTTAAGTCCCTTTCTTTGTGTTCCCTTGATTGCTTCACACAGGAACATTAAATTGGCTTGAGGTTCATCATAAGCTGGTGGTGAACTGAAAAGTCTAACAAATAATAGATACTTTGCAGGAAGAATATACGAATTTACTAAAAATAGGTTGCTTGGGGCTATGGGGACTAGTCACAACCTTTCTAGACTCTCTGTCCCCATGAGACCAGACGTCAACTGATGAATCTTAGTTAAAGTACATTTATAGTTCCTTCACTGTCTTCCTATCTTCATACAAAAGTGGATCAGGTTAAATTGTAAGCAGGCATTGGCCTTATTATTATATCTCCATTACATTCGGCGAAAGGGGAAGGCTGACTTTTGATAAATTTCTTGCATTTCCTATAGTCCATTTACGCATAATCCGCATGGTCTAACAAGCTACCTTGTTAAGTACGTTACATTTTGTTTCAAGAGCTACGTGTTTGTTTCTGGGTGTTCCCGTCCTGGTTTCGAGTAACAAACTGGCTGATAGCAATACCCGGGAGAGTTGAAAAATACAATCCTACCTAAGCGAGAAATCAGTTTTATCGAAAATAATTTTCAATTTAAGTTGTTCTTAGAAGGACACAATTCGTCGGTAAAATCAAGTTTTTTCTTTAATCATTGTTGGTAAACCAATTTTCAGTTTATTTCAAATGACCATTAAATAACTTTCATTCCTAAATGGGATTTATTGAGAATTTCGATATTAGGCAAAGAGGACAGCGATGATTTACCATAAATATTCCAAGTTGTGGAAGAGAGGCAACACCAAGCCTACAAAATGTGGACATCGTTGAAAACTTAGCAGATTTGCGCATAAGATTGAATGACACGTATGATCAAAAATAGGCAAATCCGAAATAAGAAATGAGAAGCAGTGGTTAGAATAAAAATGGGATAACATTGAATATATATAAAGACCAAGATGCTGTGGCTTCGGGTATGGTCGCAGTCTCCTTTCGATTTATAGAAATGGGTTGACCC